CTCTGAAGGCTCCAGCTTGGACTCTTTTTGTCCCAAAGGTGCCTTTTCAAAAGGCAACTGGACTTTGTTTGTCCTGGAAATAAAGGAAGTTCCTTCTTCTTTCAGTTCTGAACTGAAGAAACTTTTTGGATGAGATTTTTTTTCTTGAAGATGCTCTACTTCTCATCCAAGAAGCTTCTTCAGTTCCTTTCTTCTCATCCAAGAAGCTTCCTCAGTTCCGTTCTTCTCATCCAAGAAGCTTCTTCAATTTTGTTCTTCTCATCCAAGAAGCTTCTTCAGTTCCATTCTTCTCATCCAAGAAGCTTCTTCAGTTCAAAACTGAAGGAAGGACCTTTCTTTGTATCCATGACAAGCAAACAAAGTCCAGTTGCCTTTTGAAAAACCACCTTTGGGACAACCATGACCTGGATGACAGAGAATCTCTGTAGACACCATGGATTCTTGTCTTGCATTTGTTTGATCCTCTAAGGAACATCTCAGTTTTTTATAATTGGCACAGCTTCACAAAGTGTGCATCTGTTTTGTCTCACCCCAGCATATCCTTGGAAAGTTCAGTCGCAGGGACTCACGATGAGCTGCTCCAAGTCCTCAAAGAGAAGATGAGGCTCGAAGGACAATTGGAGGCACTGTCATTAGAAGCCAACGAGGTACAAAAGGATCTTCTATTTAAAAACTCAATCTCCACAATTAAGAGAAGCATGTCACTGCTCCTCTAGGTTCACGGATGGGTTATGGAATATGTCTGTGGAAGGAGGGTGGCATTTCAGGTCATTGTTGATATACCTAGTCTTACCTGCAGATCTCAAAACTTCTTGAGACAGTAGGATCTTAGACTGGCCATTTAAGCCACAGGATTCCATTTGTTTCAAGATGCAGGAATCCCAATGAAAGCATTCCCAGGAGACGGGGGTTTAGCCTTACTAGAGAGTGAATGTGAAAATAATACAGGGTGGTTTGTGAGCTTGATGGTAGTTTGCAGTCATTATCCACATCTATTATCCACCTGTAAAAATTCCTTCTGAAGGGATGCACGAGACGTTTGGTTGTGTGTCCAAGTTTTATAGAAGGTTTTGAAGGCCCACCTCAACCCAGTTTCGATGATGACACCTCTGACACCAGATTTATCTTTGTGTAGGCCCTCAAAGAAAAAACAGAATTGCAGACCCAGCTGGCTGCGGTCCAGATGAAGCTCCAAACCCACATGGAGCATTCACAGACCAGCCAGCAGAAGCAGGACTCCCTGAATTCAGAGGTGGCTAACTTGAAGCAGTCCTGCTGGGACCTGGAACGTGCCATGGCTGAGCTACAAACCACCTTGGAGGCCAAGAACGCTGGCTTGGTTGCTTCCCATAATGACCTGCAGTTGGCAGAAGAACAGTACCAGAGACTGATGGGGAAGGTGGAAGACCTGCAGAAAAATGTCCTCGGCAAGGACAGCATGGGTGAGTTATTAGGGACAATAACTTGGTCCTTGACACCAATAAGACCAAGGAGCTTATAGTGGACTACAGAAGGAATAGCTCAGACATCCAGCCGTTGCTTATCAGTGGAGACCGAGTGGAGCAAGTGCCCAGTTTTCTGGGTGTTGTCATAAAAGAGGACCTGACCTGGGGCATCTCACACTGCAGCCCTGGTCAAAAGGGCCCAGCAGAGATTATACGACCTGAGACTTCTCAGGAAACAACAACTGAATGAAAACCGCTAGTGACCTTCTACCGCTGCACCATAG